ACATTGTGCATTCGTTGTGCACGTTCGTGAACCATGCCATGTACGTACTTGCGTGTAATGGGATCCCCTAGTTTCGATACTTTATGCGCCGAATGTCGAAAGTTTCATCGTTGTCGATCGAATTGCCGCGTAAATAAATTTTTGAGAACTTGTTTCGGGAAACACGTGAAATTTTTAACGTTGAACTAGAGTAATAGAAGTCATAATTACAGTCGAATTTGGATTATTTGGATTATTGGATTATTATTGTTCAACGCTGGAACTACCCAAATAATTAAAGAGACCAATTTAAGAGACAGTTTTCGTTAGATATTTTATAGACGTGAAACATATATTTCTGGAGTTTTTCTTTACAATGTATAAAAGTTTGTGTATTCTATTGTAATATAAATTTATTATTTTTTTTTTTTTTTTACTTTAACATCTCTAAAATGAAAATTTTACATTTCAATCGTCGGTAGTTCTAGTGTTAAAATTAAATATTATAAACTTTCTACTTGAAATTTTAGTCTTATTTTCATCTATACAGTGGCCACGGCCGATCATTAAAATGGACACTCTATAAAATGACAAAATTTATGACTGTCGTATTTAAAAAAACTCGAAATTTCAGCAGAGGTTATATGCAGACATCGTCCCTGAAAGGTCGCAGAAGATAAAGTGACCTCTGAGGGAGAAAAAAACGATGACGCAAAAAATAATAATAGTGACACGAAAGTAGAAAGAAGGAAAAGACGACATTTGGACGAAAATATGGCAGCGTGTCAGGAAGATGAGTGACAGGGCGAAACGCGTTTCTGACGCGTGTAAACATTGTCGTCGATAGGTACGTGGATATCGACGTTCCTTGATAACGAACGTGTCCGTCAAAACGGCGGCGCAGCTTCCGCGGCGTTGCAGATACGCGTGGCCGGTGGTTTCTTTTGAATTGGCTGGGAATTTATATTCGCAAACAGCGTAACTGGCACGTCCGAAGGCGGATAGGAGGGTGCACCGCATGATGAAACGTACTGGACTGATGTCCAGGGAAAGTGCCTGTACATATTCATGGATGGGAAGAGAGCGAGAGAGGAGAAAAAGTGAATGGGCCGGTTGTAGTGCGCTCGGTGGCACCGTCTGGCCGGAAAGGTGAAAAAAATCATACTACCTATCGCTGTTTCCGGTCGCGATTATAATCCGGTCTGTTGGTAATTATTCAGCATCGCGAGAGTGGATACTTACACTCCTGTTTAAAAGCCTTAGGGCACTGTTTCTTATTTTTAAGAAACCTTAGCTGGTGTCATTTCCTTAATTAATTAACTGAACATTGACAGCCACATAAATTTCTAAAGATCTTACGTCGCCCAATTCTGGAATGTTTAATTTGATTTAATATTCAATTTTTATGTTTAACCCATCAGTGATGCTATTGAACATTGAGAGCCATTTGAGCTCTTGCGTTATTCAATTTTGGAACTTTTAATTCGATTTGCTAATCTTCTGTCGGAGAGACAGTATGAAATTTCTGTAATTATTGATGCGTACAATTACAAATTATTATAATCATCGGTGCTCCCACAATGTCATTTAAAGAAATTAACTTTTTATACTGTGATTGTTTTCTTGGTTCATTCAAATTTATTTCTATCTTTTCTAGTTTTAATATTTCATTTAAATCAGGAAAAAAATTGCAGATGCTAGTTTAAATTTTTATCAACGGAACGTTGTTCGTGAAGAGCATATCGTGAGAGATCAAATTGGCGTTGGCAAGCATAGTATTGTTCAATTTTTGAAACAAATGTCTGTAACGATATTAGCCCGAAGATTGTGGAGCGGACGTGTATTTCGTTCGCCCCTGTTATGTTGTCGTTTAAATGTAAATTAACGATTGTTTCATTTACGCGAGATTGTTTTACGGATCTTGTCGAACAATTTCTAGGGCGTGTCGTTTAGTATTCATTGGAAAAGTCATTGGTGATGTCAAGTTTAGGCTCTGTTTATCGTGGACGTCGACACTATGGCTTACACAAAATTCCATCAAACTCCGTCTTCTTCTTTCTCTTTTTCTCCCCGTTTTATTTACATGGAAGGACTCGCTGCTTATTTAAACGGAACAAGCAAATACGGACACCGATTTCCTCCTGTCAAACTGCACCCAGTTTGAGCCAAAGATCGCTCGTACAGAGAAGAGTTTGTCAAATCTTCCACAAAGCTAGTTACCCAAATTATTCCATTTTTCATCTGTGTTCCGATAAACGAAGGTCCATCGTACTTTTCGTCGAAATTGTCGCCTCTGTAAAACGAAAATTACTTAATTTTCACTTCATCGATACAGGTGCAATCCTCAGCTATATAATACCTTAACTCTCGTTAGATATATCGTAACGTCCAAGTTGCACAGTGTTCATTTCTAATGTTAATAAATTGTGATTCTTCATGTATTCATTCGTATCTAATTAACAATTTCAATTCGATTCACGATCTTTTGCAGCAACATCAAAACACCGCAGAGTACCCGATTTTTCAAGTCGTTTGCAACTTGACGATATATTTATTTACGTTGATATTTCGTGTTTCATTTGCATGGCTGCAAAGTTACGTTACGTTACAACCTGGTGTCAAAGAGGTCAAAAGGATACTGTCGTCCTCGCATACACATTATTTCGTGCACTAACGCTAACCGTGTCCATCAGCGAATGAACACGTTGCATTCATAGGGAACTTTACCTTCGATGGGGAGGGTGATCACTTGGCGCCAGACTAGCAGCGACGTTGTTGGCAATCTTGGCGGATGTACGACAGTAGTCTCATTTACATGTAGATGTAACGAACGTTTGCGAAGCGTCTGTGCACGATCAAGGAGCCAGTCCGTTCCTTGTTGCTCGTCCGACTGCAATAACGGCAGGGGACACGCCTGTTAAAGGGAAGCCCCTTAAACGTAAACATCTTAAGCTCGAGATTGAATCAACCCTCATCCGTCCCTCATCTTTCGACTCGGTCTACTGCTTTCAAATTGGAGGAACGACAAAGAAAAAGTTACGTTTTTAACGACGGGAAGATGTTGCAAATTCTTTTGTTAACAGTAAATGGACTGAATTTCTGCTCAATCGCGTATGAGTTACTCTCTAAGAGATAGATATTGCGTCTCTTTTGCACGCTTTCATGAGAAAAATGACACACAGGGGACGAAGGTTGATTCAAATAGTAAAAAGTTAATAATTGAAACCCACGTTCATCTACTTCAAAAGTACTGTCGCGTTCATTCGTTTGTTTGCTCGGACCATTTTACACTTAATTCTGTATTAGACATTGAATTAAAGTGATGACTATCGAACCGTTGGTAGAATTATGTTCCAGGCTAGAATAGTATTCAGGGGATTGAATAACAACTGGTAAATATTAATTTTAACAGACATGCAATTTGAATGCTCCGGCTTATCCTCCATATTGTCTCCGGATATTGTCCACTCTAATCGTTATATATCCCGCGGTAGATGGTATAAAAATGCACCTAACAATGCTAGTTACGAACAATAGCTTCGATGTTGATTTTTAGGCCGTGAAAAATAATTAAAAGCGTGTCTACTTATTATTGACACAGAGTTAACGTATTATTGCTCATTACGAGTGTTATTAACTTTCTATTGTCTCTTTTGTTATTAATTCTCTGTCTCACTTTTGACGTATCGTGTATAAGTATTATGTATCAAAAAGAGTTTATCTCGTCAACGAAATAAGAAAGGAGAAAAAAATCTCGTTTATTAGCAAATCCCGAAATTGTTGGAAAAATGGCATTACGAGACTTCCGGAGAGATGGAGGATACGTGATACGTAATTGACGTATCGCGCATAAATTATTCTCGAACAAAACCTTTCATTTAAAAAATAAAATATAACGATTAAATTCGAAATAAATATGTATAATATATAAATAATTAAATATATAAGGAATTAGGCAAAATAAATATTTATCAAAAACATGTCTCATTGAGAATAATTTTCGGTCAATCTGCCCAATGAATAATTTAATGGCCGCAGTATAACTGACTGTACAAAGGTAGCATAATCAATTGACTTTTAAATGAAAGCTGGAATGATGGAATTAATGAAATATATACTGTCTCATACGTATATATAATGAAAATTTAAAATTTTTAATAAATATGTTAAAATGTTCTCTTATGGAACGATAAGGTCCTATAGAATTTCATATTAATTTATTTTTGTATTTAATACAAACCTTTGGAACGACTTGATCGTATCGTTTCGTTAAAAGGAGGCGGCAAGAGACGGCAACGGACGCCCGATGAAAACGAGTCTGCGTTTCGTCGCGAACCGACCGGGCGATATCGTCGATATCGTGGCAGATTAAATATGAAAGATACTCGAAATTATCGGGAAACAAATTTCCCAGCGTCGACGAAGTTCCGCCGTTGGGGACGGCTCGGCGTCGTACTCGATTAATTTCGCCGATAAATAAATTCGCCGCGTTCTCTCGTCAATGGCTCGTAAATACTCGTTAAGGCGGCAGTTGGACGGGCAAATTGGTCGGAGATGGAATTTTACTCGCCGCCGCGTGTTCTCCGGCGTGGCTGGTTCCTCCAGTTCCGTTCCCGGCGAAAACCACCGCGCAAAATTTATTGTTCCCCGTTGCTCGCGAATTTCACCACTACTTTCACCTCTCTCGTTGCCTCGTTGCCGAACTTTCGAAAACGGCGTTTGAGCGAGCGAGAGATCCCGGTGAATTCGCAAGCAGGTGAACCGGTTTTCTCGCCGGATCGGTGATTTCGATCGGATCGAGATGAATGCCCGCGAGTTTGGCGAGAACGGACGTGCGTATCTATTCTTAATAAATATTGCACGCTGATTATTATAAATAGTACAGCATATATTCAAATCTCAGCCAGAGTGTCTGGATATTTATAATATTATGCAATCAAGTGTAATGTTGATCGCAGTGGCTCGAATGCGCCGGTGAAACGACAAAGGCAAAAGGAAGTCTGCCGGTGGCTGCCGGTGGGACAACAAGCACCGGTTAAGTGGTACTTTCTTTTCCTACCAGTCAGTCAATGAGTATGGCTCTACGCGACTGGTACGCGAACCGCGAGCTGCTCCTAACGGGAGTGACCAGTGACGTAGGACGAGCGTTGCTCGAGAAGATCCTTCGTTCGTTCCCCGACGTGAAGGTGTACGTGGTCCTCCGATCCAGGCACGGATTCAGCAAGGATGACAGAATTAAAAACATCTTTCTATCATCGCGGTACGAATGCCTGGTTTTTGCTTTCTCTCTCTCTCTCTCTATCGAGATGAAATTGTGGTGTTTCGAAGTGCGACGATTTTAATATTCGAATGGAAGAGGAAATGGTGAAAATAAATGGTGCGCTGAAAATAATTCGCGATTGACGTGATATATTATTATTGTTATCATTGGTTTATTCCCTTGACAGTTTTATTCCGATTGAATACAAAATCATTGCTTGATGAGCATGAACAGCAAAGGAACTTCAACCAGACGAATGTCGTTCAGTACGAATTGGAAAGAGAGAAAATACACTCGATCAAAAATTGTTGATACTTTAAACAAGAAAATTGTACAACAGTTGAGTTGGTTTCATTTTAAAACGTGAAGCTTGCATTTTGACATCTCTGAGTTACGTTTCTTTTCTTTTTTCGGAGATATTTTCACATCGCGCAACAGGTGGGACAATTAATTGGAAAAATTCAAAAATCTCTAAACGTCGCTGAAAAATTGTTCAACGACTGAATCTGCCATGATTTTGAAAGCCTCTCCTCCAAAACGATTCTTTTCGTCATTTTATTGAACTCAAAATAATAGCGTTTCTTGAATACTACTGTCCGGATTGCAACGTTAAATTGCACATTTCAAAATTTACCGTAAAAGTTATAAATGTGTACGAAGCAATTACACACATTTTTTTATAACTTTTTCAATTGGTAAAAGGTCAAAAGTGCTTAAATCTTCGGGCGAGAGACGATTTTAGTAACGCGCGGAGCATGTGTTGGTTTATTTATAAATAAAATCGGCGCCCAAACGTGGAACATTAACGTGGTACAATATTTTCATAGGAAAACGAACAACAAATTCCATTGTCTCTCTTGATTTTATTTCTCCCATTAATTAATTGAGCACATTGGCTGTACAAGAGGAGCCGAGTGAACCTTTGTTTGACATTAAACGAGAAATGCTCCTTCGTTCGGTCGAAAATTTACTCGAGTTAATAACGTGGCTGAAATTACGGATTTCTGTGTACATATTCCGCGAAACGGCTCTGTATTATATTACGTAATATCGATGGCGTTGACATTTCCCGGTATAAACAATTACAGAGAACGAAAACTCGCGTATTTAGTTAATTCAGGCGAACGATCGGCTTGTGCTCGTCATTGGTCAAAGCAGAAGTACCTCGCCGGGATGCTTTCGCTGTTCAGATTTTCTCATTATTTCTCTCTCGAAGAACAATGGTTCGAACGTTCGTTTGGAAAACGGATACTAACAAGATCGTTATTCCGTTAATAAAGTCGTAAATAATATAAAGGTCGACGCGGCGCGTTTATAAAGAGAAATGGGCGTTAATGCGAATTAAGCTCGCCTAATTCATAATTGAGAGTTAACAACAATGTACGCGACGCGAACGCAATGGAACTCGGGACGTAATGAGATCTCGAATTATTTAGTTTTACGATTTACGGTAGTTGATTAACTTGCCTTTGGCGACCGTTCACGATGAAGTCGTTTTGGTTTTCTCGGTCGGTCAGTTAATTTCCGCTCGTCTCTTATTTCTTCGATTAAACGTGTCCATCGGTATCAAATTAATATGAAAGAATTGATATTCATCGATATCAAGATTGAAAGCGAGAAATTAGTATGAAAGGTAAATAACAAGATAAATAAGGAGACCGATACGTAGAAACGTATGAAAATTTTATTCACCATACTTATACATTGCCACAAAAATATTAAATAACGTGTTTGTAATAATTATTAATTGGCAGATTTCAATTTTAATTCGCTGCGGGTGAAATGGCGAAATTCGTAATATAATCTTTCAAAAGCAATATTAATCAATCTTCCACTCCTTCGATTCGATATACTCTAGACAGTTTTGATCGTTTAATCATATCAATTTCGAGCTTTAAATTAAAGTCTAATAAATATTATATTTAATATTATGTATTATTAAACGCTTTTTCTGCTAACTTTTTAAAGAAAAAATTTGCCAAATTGACACACAAGGAACGAACGTAAATTAAATAAACGTGCTAAATTCATCGGTGCTAAATTTCTCGTTCGATTGATTCTTCGTTACGAGGAATATCATTCGCACGTTGCATATTATATCATGTACTCGTTAGACTCTTGCGTCTGACTCTAATGAAGCATTCGTTAGATATTGCAGCCTTCCATTCTAATCAAGGCTTCATTAGACAGAGGCGCGGATGTGAATTAGCTTTTCTCCATGCTCGCAACAACCGTGGTTGATTGTTCAGTTACTTCAAGTAGCTGTAGAAAGAGGGACTTTAGCAGCGATATTATATTTACAGTTCATAGTTTATTTGAACCACAGGCTCTGTAGAAATCCTTTCTCATTAACATCAACAAAGTGAATGTAATTGAAAAAAATAATTTTTACACTTTTCGTGTAATATTCTGTAATTTAATTGGAAACAATTTCGTTCAACGCTGTCAATTTTTTTTTCCTCAGGCTGCTTACAGCAAGAGATTGATTCGTTGATTCGGTTTTTTTCTCACAACTGAATTGAAGAGTACGTAGAATTGTATATTTCGATATCGAAAGAGGAAGACTGTTAAAGAATATCATCGTCTTATCGAAATCGTTTTAAAAAGAGAATTTATCGAACGCGCTGACACAGATATTCTTTTCACGAGTGTCATTATCGAATCGTTATGAATCATATTGCTAGTTGCTTGATAAAAAAAAATTGGACGAAAGTTGGAAACGGCGTGATCCGGTCGCTCTATCTATTTACTGTGAAAGGATCAGCTTTGTGGTTAACTGTCTCCTAGTTACAAGGAAACGTCGGCGATAAACCGCTGACATAATAGCAGACCGATTATGGTGTACGGTGTACACAGGCGAACAATAATAGGAGTCTTCGCAGTTGAGGGCGTGGAGAGAGATTGTCTGCGACGCCCTTAACTACTGCCGTTGCAAACACTGTCAGCGTATTATTGGTCACGATATGTACAATTGTTCACGAAAATATTCAAACATATTTGTAGGAATTTTTCACGAACACATGGATCATTTTGAAATTTCATCAACGACATATAGCGGCGCGCAATTGCTACAGTTGTATCTAACAAATAAGAGATGTACGTTGAAATTGCAAGTGTAGATTTTGCAAAGATTGGACGAAAGTAGTTGACAACCTTGTATTCATTAGCAGCATTGTATTCAACACTTTATATAAACGGATATATTCACATAAGTTGAGAATATGTAAATGGATATAATGTAAGATTGAATTTACAAAAAAAAAGCTACACACAAATTGATATGGTAACATTGAAACTTGCAATTCCTGCGCATATCTCTAGATCGACATCAAATTTTTCCAATATAATCGTGAAATATATAAATCCTGTCTCGTTGCAATTTTAAATTTGAAATTTCAAAATATTTTACATAACACACATGACGAAATATTTAATAAAGTATTCGAAGATTATATTTATATAATTAAATATTACTAAACGTTACACATAGTTTTACATGAAATATAATTTTCAAATGCTTTCGTCAACGATAAGGAAAAATCACATATTTAATTCGTCGAATCTTTGATTGACACTGTGAACCTTTCACTCGACACTCCGTAACTCGCCAAACGATGAAATCTGCAATTCCGACATTCTCTCTCGCAACGGCACTCGCAGTCTCGAAATTAAATCTGGCCACGATCCAATCGAACGTACCGTTCGTTTGTTACAGGTTCGAGAGGCTCAGGCAAGAAGATCCGAACGCGTTGTCTCGTGTGAGGGCGATGGAAGGTAATTTATTATACAACGGGCTGGGAACAACGAGAGGAGACAAGGGGCTATTGCAAAACGTGAGCGTGGTGTTACACGCGGCCGGCCCCTACCACGAAGTGTTCCGTTTATACCAACAATTACCGCGGCTTCAAGTGATCGTGGCGGTCGCCAGCGTTTTCAACCACGAAGGACTGGGAATCGGCGAGTCGTTGGAGAAAGAGCAACCGGCCAACGGACCCGTGGCTTTGGTACAGGTTCCACTGGTCGGGCCAGCGCTTCGCGAGCCTATGCCTGGCTTTGTCGACGTCCTCAAAGGGCCGACAGCTTTGCTAGCAGGGGCAGGTTTCGTCCTTGGCAACTTGGAGCTCCAAGCGGAAATCATTCCGATCGACCTGACGGTCAACACCCTGATCGCCGTTGCTTGGGAACGAGCCACCGCGTGAGTGTCCCTTCCCTTTTCCCCTGTGCTTGCATCTCAGTCTGAGCTGCATCTCTCGTTGATTTCTACCACCTTTGTTGAAGTGATATGACACGGATTGGTCAATTGGACAAAGTCGATTTTCTTTCGAACAAAGAAGAATTACTTAGTTTAGTAGAAATACTTAGCTTACTTAGATTTTCGTTTGGTTTCCGAATATTTACAACGAGGGACAATCATAATTTTGTATTATAATTTAATTTTTAGATTATAATTTCGTTAATATTAAGAATACACAGCACTGGAAATATTTCGCACGATTTGAAGGGCTGTTCAAAGTATTTTTTACTTTAATAAGAAATATTTGTTCCAATGACTGTGTGACACGGTAGCAAGGTTGTCATATCGATTTTAATAAATCAACAACGATGCAGAATAAGTCAGTTATGATTCTTTGAGCTTTTCAGTGAGTGAAACTATTCTAGAAACTAAAGGATCGTAAATATTAGAGTAAATATTAATGAGATATTGAAGCTAAAACTGTTCTGCAAACTTGCACTGATGCATATCTATATATTCTATGCTGTATATATTAGATTTTAATTGACGCAAAATCTTTCCATTATGTTCGCTGTTCGTATATCTTAATATTAACGACGATGAAGAAGAATTTCCTTTAAACTTGTGATTGGTAGCTCAGTCGTGCTTCTCATTGTGTTTAGAGAGCAGAAAGCCAGAAGAATTCTTAGAGACAGTGTATAACGTATCGTTTTTCATTTCGTTCTAAAAAAAACTGGGATCGAGAGGAGAAATTGACGAAATTCCGTTAGCTCAATCAGGAAATCATTCCACCTCGAAAATCGCGTATATATTTAGCAGAAGTTGAACTCGCTGGAGAACGTAAGTACCTCTGATGTTCTATTTAGCAAAAGGGGCCGCAACATCGACTGATCGTTAAAGAAGCTTTACGGGCAGTAAACTTGCGGTTAATTACACGCGAGTGGACATTGGCTGACGAAGACGACGCGCTTCGCGAGCTAATAAGGATCGCTAATTGCTCGGTTTCTTCCTTTCAGTCTGCCCGTTTCCGTAATTTACTTTGACGCAATAATTGCCGATTAAAAGGCAATTTCTCGCTTCGTTGTAACCGCCTGTTAGAAAAGTAGAGAAAGTTCATTGACGCGGTGGAAAAACTGTCGTGGTGTATTTACACGCTTGCTCGCTTGTTTTCCCGTGAATTGTCTAATAAGATAAGTGTAAAATGACGAACAGAGTGGATTGTCGCGTAAAGTTGTCCCTCACTTTTGAAACAAGAAATTGATTTTTTCATTTTAAAATGTCTTCTTAAAGTTCTTTAAACATACCTTGTATATTCTATTGTATTATAGTTGACTGAAGTTCTGATTAGAAAAAGATAAGTATTTTATTTGATAGTCTCTTACAGATGAATGGTTAATAATCGTGTCACTTGAATTGAAGATCTCCACTTTACAATTACACCGCATCTCTTTAAAACATGCTGTTCTTTGTTTTGCCATTTTATTGAAATTTGAATATTAATAATATTCATTGCTTCGTAATATTTAAATTCACGCTTTAACATTTATATTCAAGATATGATACTCAAATATGTAAATTAATATTGTGTTAATTATGTTATAATATTTAAATTCGAAAAGTTCAAAGTTCAATGAAAGACGAACAAAATCGTGTAGCAAGTTCTCAGAGGTCGTTGCACCCTCAAGATTAGTACAGCAGTCGTGAAAACATTTTTCCAACGTTCTCACAGACGTTTCTCGAGAATAAAAGTATTCTTACTTTCGCACGATACAAAAAACGTATTTGAGAAAAGAGAAACGAGCCCAGAATTTTCAGAATAGAGAAACTTTACTGTTTGAAACGAGACCAAGTGAAAATTGTTAAATAATTTTTCTTCGACGTTGCAACAGTTGAAAATATCGACGATTCTTTGTCGTTATTGGTTCGATAATGCTCTCTTCACTACAGTTTAAGATACGCGTATGTACAAGCATATTCATAGACCTTTCGCTCTGTAGCGATTAACGTTTATGTTTGGCGTATATTAACGCCAAATGAACGCGATTTCGTTCCACGAGAGCGTTCGAGTCTCTTTTGAGCGGAAAGGCAACAGTTTACACGTGCGTCGTCCGTTTCATCGAGAAATGCCAGCAAAGGGTCGCATTATGACAGTTTCGCCGGTTCAAATTGCTCCGGTTATCGTTTCGACAGGGATTACGCACCGAATCAATCGGATCATTGCAAATTGCCCAGCTGCCACAATTTTGCAAATAATCGCAAAGCACCTCTCATTATACAGCGTTCATTGCACGTAAATATTATCTCGTCATCGATTTCGACTTTAATCGCAGATCAGATTCGAACACTTGCAAATGACAGTCAACGTTTCAGCCCCGTGATTTTTCAGAAAAAAAAAAAAAAAAAAAGAAAAAACAGAAGTGGAAATTGCGATGCTACAAATTCCAAGGCAGCACGAGTCAATATCAAATGATATTTTGGGAAAATGAGCTCTCTTTATTTATCTTTTTATATTTATCGTCAATCGCATTGATCTTTTTCTGTGAACGTTATTCTAGTTGGTAATCAGTGTAAATTAGTTTTGTGCTACGCAGATATTCTTTTTTTTCAACAGAACAGAATTTAGTCATTATATGATCACTGTAATATAATTATTAGAATGTAATAACTAGGGCATTCTGTCGACCAGACGTTTCTAAATGTACACAAGTTATTTTTAATAAGAACTCTCCATATATTTTAATTATATTTTTATGTACATCTATATTTTTAACATTGTTGGGTCCATGTTTCTCACAAAAAAGATTCGTATTGTTTTGGGAATCGTTGAGTAATTCAATGCGGTGCTTTTAATTAGCTTATTACGTAAATGAAATTCGCCAAAAAGAAAATATTTATTAATTTCTGAACAACATGATAATCGAATCTACAGACATATAAATATCCGAGATTTTACAAATAGAATATTGAGTTTATAAAAGTTATAAAATAAACAGTTTCCATCTTCGTGAATCGAAATACCCAAGCTTTGCAAAACGAAATTCGTAGGAACTGTCTGCGCTTGAAAAAGACACGCCGACGCCCGCGTAGTAGTGTCAGTGTTAAAAATCGATGTCGAATCAATGAAACCGAAGAAAGTTATAAAGGTTAGAGCTCTGTGTGAAGCAACCGCGTTGATGTAAAATAGGTTTAGCCACGAGTGGAGAATATAATATATACGATGGGTTTGCGGCGCTGTTTCGAGATAAGAGGGTGGAAGATGGAAAGGAGCAAATAGCAAGAGACAAGGTAAATGAGGTTCGCAAAAATGGCAGGATCAGGGAGGGATTTCTATCAAAATACAAGTAAAAGGGCTTGGCGGTCAAGGTTGTAAAGCCTGGAGTACCTACTTACATACTAGAAACTACGGTACGGTGGATTTACGAGGGTACAGACGGAGTTATTTCCTTTAATCTCGCCACGGAAGATGCTTTAAACTTTGTAAGTTAGAATGACGTCAGACGATTACAGAGTTCAGATGAGGCGTTCAGTACGTATAACGAAGAGCATAATTGAATCAGCAACAACATATATTTGCATATATATTCTTTCTTGTTATCGTTTACGTTAACAAACGCACATTTTGTGCGACTGAGATCAACGTAAATGATTTGTCAACAATACGAGAGATGCTTTTGCAGTTGTCGTTATAAATTTTAGTTTTATCACGTGTTAAATTGATTAATTTCAACAGAAAATTGCAAAAATTAAGAGGAGAAAGACGTGTCAACTTTCTCTTACATATTTTGTTTCTTTATTTATTTTACTTTATTATCATATTTCTTAGTTTATGGCGATTTTTAGATCGTGTCCTCTATTGTTCAGCTTAATTTAGCAAATTTGGATTTAGCAACTGTCGTACCATAAAAAAATGTTTATATATATATATATATATATATATATATATATATATATATAGGGATTTATTTGTGTAGCTTCATAGTGTTTTAGATATCACTCGTGTGGATGATATTGTTATAGGAATCATTTTAATTAAAAATTATTATTACTCGCGATCGCATTTTTGTACTACTTTCTGCCTTTTCAACGTTCTACTAACTTTCTAAAATCCTTAGTCGATTTATTAATAATTTTCCTCTGAATTTTTTTATAGAAAAAACGCACAAGAAGGCGTAATGGTGTACAACGCGGCCCCGATAAACTGCACGTGGGGCGAGCTAATTAAAAAAGGTCGGCGGGGCAATCGGAAATTTACATATCCGACGTTCGGCATCCGGGGAATGACGTCTATGGTAACGGTGTATTGGACTCTGGTGCTGCTTTTTGAATGGTTGCCATCCGCACTCTGCGACACGGTTCTCGGACTGCTAGGAGCGAAGAAAAGGTATAACGAGGTGGAAATTTACGATATCCCCGATTTTCATCCCCGATTCCAGCGTAGCCGAACCGGCGACTACTTTGAGACTTTCGTTATCGCTTTCGAACTCCGGGTTTGCGCGCGAAGGGACGATAGAATGCTGACGATAAGCTGGAAATCTACGATTTCACTGACCTCGACGTTTATTCTTCGCGTACGGCCGGTCACGAAAGTATTTGAACATTCAGCACCGAAAGAACTTTTGCAAATGTTTGAGTAGATTTAGATACGTAAATTTAGATAAGTACGTTTCAAACGAGACGTTTTGATGTTTGATTTTTGCCTGTGATTTTATCATGGACAACAACGTACAGTACTGAGTACACTTCTGGTCGTAGAACTTTCATTTTTAATGCTCAATCAGTATTTGTCGTGAGTAATTTCTGGCGAGCCTCAGATGTACGAAGTCACGGTTGATCAAAAATATTCTGTTGTATTTCTTTATTGTGCGCACATTTACATCTTGTGATGTTTCATGTGAGTTTTCAAGTCAGTTGTCGTGTGCATAAACTGTCAGAGTCAGTTGTCAGGAGTAGCATCGATCAGAATCAATTGTCAAGTATTTTTAATCGGAGTCAATTGTCAAGAGCTTCCAAATCGGAGTCAGTTATCAGGAATTTTCATTCGGAATCAGTTTTCAGGAGCTTTCAGTCAGGGTTAGTTGTCAGAAGTTGTTGTCAGTTTTCAGAATTAGTTGCGAAGAGATTTCAATCAGACTCTGGTGTCAAAAGCTTTCAATCAAAGCCAGTTGTCAAGATCTTTCAATCCGAGTCAGTTGGCAGGAATTTTCAGTCAGAATCAATGATCAGCTGTCATTCAGTGAGACAACAGTTGTCAGTCTTCCATCAGAATTCAGTAATTCTCACAATTAATCAAATTTCACAGTTAGTCGCTGTGAGATAGTTAGTAATCAGAATCAGGTGGAATCAATCCTTACCTCAACATCAGTCAGACAGAATCAACCGTCGTCTGTAAACCTAAAAGCAATCAAGCTTCTCAAGTATACTAAATAAATCAACTGTAATTGGTCAAATTTATCTCAGTTATTTCTCACAACGAGCGGGATGCTCCTTCGTTAGGCAGATTAGTGCGATAATCGAGCAAATATTAGGTGTACCCATAAGTAATGTCGTTTTTCGTTACTGTACGAAATTTTATTTCATTTAAATTATTTCTTTTTTAATTATTGCCACTAAATGGCAATATTTATTAAATTTGCTCTTATAACATAATTTATTAGGCAATATTTATTAAATTTAACCTCTTATAACATAATTTAATTTAATTTAATTTAACTTAATTTGTTTATTTGTTTGCAATGTTTATTAAATTTAACTCCTATTATAATGTAATACAATATAAATTTTAGACGTTTGAATACTTTCGCCAGTCACTGTATTTCTAATCGCAAAGTCGGAATTCCGCGAATTCGCCTAAATTCTCACCGCGTCGACGTTGTGTGTTCGAAAGCGATGCCGAGAAATGAATCGTCGAGCCGGCGAGTTGAGTTATCGGGCGCGAAGGGGGAGATCTCTGGTTAAAGTTCCCCGGGAAGAAGTATCGCGGACGATTTTTCGGGCAAAGTTTGATCGCAAGTGTTCGGGGAGCGAGGGGTTGCAAAAGGGCCGATGGCATACTTGGCGAACGCGATGCAATCGTAAAAGTAAAAGTTATCGAAACTACGATTTAGGTTGAATACCGAAAAGTAATAAACAGGTTCCCCGACGACGACGGTATCCGAATCGACGAGACACCGAGAGGGATGGAGGAGCGAAAAAGGGGAAACTTGCCGACTCGTTCTCCGATTGATCTTTTAAAAATCGCGAGTTTGCCTCGGCGAACGACAGCTTTCATTGAATCACGCGTTGCTTCGCCGATATTCGCGTGATTCCAGCTTTTTCTACGTCGACTCGAGGCGCGACGAAACGTCTCGATCCTCTTGTGTCAGGAATTATCGGAGTAAATGTATTTGAACGACAACAGTTTACTGAGACATGGGATACAGAAGTTTACCAAAAAAAGAAGAAATCAGGTGAGTGAGAGCGAAGAAAGATCATTTAGAAAAAGACTTTGATAACTTGATAAGGTCAAGAATAACACAGTTTTACTGGATTACGTGTATTGAAAAGGCAAGATAATTTCAGTAGTTGAGAAGAATATAGATATATAAACTCCTAGATATATCGAAATAAATTGACAATTGTCTTAGTTTTCATTCGGATTTAATATACTTCGCGAAAATATTTGTTCCATTATTTGGGTGAAAATTTCATTATGATGATTGTTGTAAAGATCATAATGGAATTAAAAAAGTTACTTGTGCTAAAACGATCAGATAATTCAATATCCAAACAGAATATAATCTTTCCGAGTATCGAAATAAACTGAAAATGATCTTACTTTTCATTAAATTAAATGTTGTGAAAAATTTGTTCTGTTACTCAGAAATTCCAATAATCGAACATTTTTATCTTTTATTGAGCTTTACTAAAATTAAACAGAGATGCTATTGACAATAATACAGTGTAGAAACTACAAAAAATTCTTTTAACGATGAACCAAGAGAATATAGCGTTTTAACATTGAAATTTAATTATCTTAAACTTCGTTCTAATTTAATATTTGAAATGTATCAAATACGGATCAATGTTGGAAATTTTGCTCGAAAATTCCACTAATCGAACACTTTTACATCTCTGTTAGACTCTGCTCTGTATTTCGCGGAATATTGCCACAACGATCGTTATAAACGTCATGTACCATAGAATTAAATGGGAGACGTGTATTATAATGTACTCTGTGGTCCCTACTCAGTATTACGTTAGTAATAATAATAATAATAATAATTGAATCGCACGCTCTTACTAGGTAACAATAACAACAGCTTTGTTACGCGTTCGCAAAATCATAGTACACCGCAGATGGTAATGGACGAGGATCAACGTGCCGCATCAATGCTATTGTTATTTACGCAGAGTTATCCTAGCTTCAGTCGTGTTGTTGAAACAGTTCGTCAAACTGTTAATTCCGATTGACGATCCCGTTTCTTTGAAGCTTGTTTCATAGAACGCGATTGAACAAATGGCTAAATGTTGATCACTTAACGAATAACGATTCCCTCTGTCTTTTACTTTTAACTTACTAAAATTCTATATGAAAGAAACATTCATTTACAGAAACAAGATAATTTACACGTGCCGGAATAAATCATTGGAAATTTAAATGGATAAAAAATCGAAGTAAATAATAAATTAAACGAATCTGTAGAGTCACGTCTCTGCCTGAACAGAAATCGATAGTAATTTTGACGAAAATAGTGGCAGTTACAAAGTCTCGATAGTTAAACATTTTTCGATATAATCAGTCGTTTCTCCGATATGTGTTCAGCTTTCAACCTTAATCTCACGGTCGAAAAAATTAGAAATTCGTCGAAATCAATGTTTCCGAGGGCTACGAGCCGGTTGCCCGAGCTACGCGCCTTTATTACTCGGTGGAAGTCAAACACCATCGTCGAAGGAACTTTCGCAATTTACGTGTCGGACAGACACAGTGGAAAAGCAGAATCGAGTGGATCCTATCGATCTGCGTACGATCGCGCGATTAGAGACGATGTTGCGGCGAGAGCGCACGTCGTCTGCAGCCGTATATCAGTCGGAGGAAATTACAGCACGCCGCTGCGTCTAATTGCGTTAATCGATTAAGCAGCGGAACAATACTTTTGACTAATTATAACCTGCGCGTGTGCGTGAAAGCGGAGACAAATTAGCGAGACGTCAATTTCCGCGCCTTGGCGTCTTCGCTAAGAGAATATCTCCTCTCGTGCGAAAACAGTGCGCGCGCGAGAGAAAGAGAGAGAGAGAATTAGTTTGGAGGAATTCGTGAATTCGCTGATGAAATCGTCGCGGTGTTTCGATTGTTTGTTAAAACTGTAGGAACAAGTGAGAATTACATTTTATGTTAGCTAAGATAATCATTTTTTTGTAAAATTCACACGTCTTCTCGTTGTGAATGCGAACGTAGATTCCGCGAGAACCTAGAGATCCCGAATCAAGCCTAACCGTGACGAAGAGTTGTGATAAGTCACTTGTGGTGTCCATTTGTGAAGAAAACGATTGTAACAAGAGCAGAGTGAGATATCGAAAAGAAAAAAAAAAAAAAAGAAAATAAAATAAATAGAAAGAGAATCCGCTCTCTCGGAGAAGCAGATGGAAATCGTTCAAATTGGGAATTCGGATTGTAGTAGGGGGGGAAGGGGGCGGTCGAGTAAGTCGCGGACGAAGGAGATCAGTCGCCGAGAGGTAAAACCTTCGCTTCTCCGTAGGTTTCTCGAGGAACATCGGAGAGTTCGTAATGCACTTCGATCCGTTGAGTCAATTTCATCGAGGCGGTGGTCAGTGGAGAGGAATCGCGTGTACCAGCTTCAGCAACGTCTCACCGCGGAAGACCAAGATACATTCCCGGTTTCCACGGAAATCGACGTCGAGAGCTACGTTTTGTGCGCGGCCGCCGCCGCCAAGAAGTATTGCGTGGACGAGGGCAATATCAGGCTGGTAAAAATCTTCCGGCTGCTTTTCTTCTTTCTTATCGCGGCGGCCCTCCTCTGCACGTTCTTCTTCAACAGATATCACGCGCTCACGAAACACGCTGAAGTTTGAACAGCACAGGCCCGGACTTTACTCGTGACAGAACACCTAATTTGCATAGAACCGAGATGTAGATAGGTTGGTTCACCCGTTCGGTTACGAGAACATATCCGTAATCAGTTTTTTTATACTCATTCTCAGCTCGTCATTTCAAATTAATCGGAATTAGTTATCAGAAATTGGGGACTACTAATTTTAAATTTTAACTTTACGGCGACCGGTGCAAGGCATTTAAAACATCTTGCGATAAAAATGAGGCTTGAAATATATTTAACTTTCTTACTAGCCCAGAAATCGATACGGAATTCTTGCATAAATACCTTGATCCGACACTTCACGTCTTTTTCCCATAACGGCGTCCTACTTTTACAAACTGAGTCTTTATAGCAGAAAATGTTTCTTTGGTATGGTAACAATAGCGTATATTTTGTGTTATATTCTTGCGACGAATGCTTTATAATTCCAGATAATACGTGAAAGGTAAAATCTGCAAAATACTAGGAGAGTATAATTTTCTGGTTGGCGAGCAAAAGAGTACAAGTCAGAAGTTGTTGGATTTTAGACGTGTATGTCTGTATGTCTCGTTTCATTCTACTTGCAAGACATATGTAATTTTTTTTAATCACGTTACTTTAATCGAAATTTGTACTATTTTGATTCATCTGGAGAATTAATAGAACAGAATAAGAGAAAAATTTTAATGTAATAAATAACATGATGGCAAATTGTGCACCGTTGTAAATCTACAAATTTTTATTAAAAAAAAAAGAAGAAACAAAATACAAACAGCGACGTTAAGAATTAAGAGTGCATTATGAATTCGCATTTATAACTTTGTCGAAGAAGATATACGTACGTCCTCTGAATTAATATAATTTACACAACAGAAACAAGTGCAATACGACGTAATGAATATAAACGAATGATTGTTATTAACATAAAAATACAGTATGAATATAATATGAATTGATAAAACTACAATATAGTGCGAATTTAAAATTCGAAACTAATTTCCCTGACGTCTTTGTTTCCACGTGTCTGCATAATTGAATTGAAAAAGAATTTTCCTACCGCGAGTTGCTAGAAGACGGGGTAATTTCTCCCTTCCGAGAAGGTTCCACTCTGGCGAAAAGAGGACATCATTTACAAACGGAAGTCCGTTCGTCCTCTCTTCTTTTTCCCCTCGTTACCTTATTGCGAATGTAACTGTGTGACAAATCTAGCTAGTTATAAATCTAACGAGTTAACCCCTTGCGCTGGCAACTGATTCGCGGACCATAACGAGTGACCGAACCGTATACAATAATCCGTCGCTTTGTTTTCCTTTTGAACTCGTCGGTATGGCATCACCGGGTAGAAATTATCGACAAGTAACAAATTTACTATTTGTTTTACTTAAACATACTTAAAACTGTGAAAATATTACAATTTTGTAACGAAAAATTCTCGATGTGCTTGACAAGTCATTCCAGCGCAAGAGGTTAATTTGAATGCCGTGGACGATCAACGCTATTGCTCAAACTGGCAGTCGAACAGTTGGAGGAAAAGTTTGCAGAAGCCAGGCTCGCCCTTCTATCAGCCTTTCTTTTTTTTTCTCTCTCCTCTGTTTCCTTTCTCTTTTCCCTCTCTTATCAATTATACCTTATATCCAGTCGGTCGTGTCGCCTCGTGACATTTCGCTGGTATATTCCAAAGCGAATGTCGCGTGATTTTTCAAAGAAATTTGCAGCGGAATTCGTTTCCCTCCTAATTTCGGGATTCCTTTGTCTAATTTTTATCAAGCTTGGGAATAGCCGAGCGTTCGCAACGGGTGACAGGCGTGAAACGTTCCCGTGTTTCCGCGAGGCGAGGTGCAAGTAGACTCTAGTGTGGGTGAAATTGTAAAATTAAAGAGCATTTGGAGATACCAGGATAACGCTCTTTCCGTTGCTACTCGGATGGATGGACATCGCCATGGATTTTAATTCCAAGTTCGTCAGTGTCGCTGTTATCAGTGTTGGGTTAGTTTGATCTCTACTCGTGACGTGAAACATCTGATATTGCATTTCTCTGCTCTGTTTCTGACCTTCGTCTTTCCTTTTTCAATCCAGTAAACTTAATCCCACTTGGAAAAATACAGTGTCGATATTTTCTTGGTATTTTTCTTCTTTTTTTTCTATTATTATTATAAATATGATAGATCAAGACTGATCATGGGACACGATGTTTTTTTCTTTCTCAGTGATCAAAATCATGATCATATCCATTATTAACTCATTAATTAAATCATATCGACCTATTAACATGTTAATATTATCGATAAACGCATTCACTCATAAATTAAACGCATCGATTTAATTGAACGCGATAAATTATAGGTACCGACGGCGTTCATAAACATTTGCTCTGTTTCGAATCGTTTTCCCTTTATCACTGATGTTAATGAACTAACGTATTAATAGATTAAATTATTAAATTCAAGAATCTTCCCTGCTGTTCAAATTCAATTCTCTGGTCATCAGATTGATGAAGAAATCTTCATTTATTAATATTCTTATCACTAAATTATAGGTGCAGCAAAGAATATGTTTCGATAGTTGAAATGATGGTGATAAAGTATTACATTGGATTGCTTAGTTTAAAAGTAGTCTAAGTCTACTTTTTTGAGGAAACGAAAAAATTTACATACACTTTAATGTGAACTTTTTATTTATAAACAATTTATGATTCGAGTTTTAAAATATTTATTTGTTTCAATTAATTGAAGTTTCATTGCTGAATGGCACTTCGATATCTCAAAATAAAACAAAAATTAACTTACAAAATAAATAATCCATATATACATATCGTATTTAATATTTTACATGTACCAAGAAATGCTGATAAATAATTTGGTCTTGATATTACAATTTTGATATTACGTACATATCGATTTCAATATAATTTTGGCAACATTGCACCAATAACAAAATAATATCAATTTCTTTTTTAATCCTTTGATTGGAAATTCAAAGAGGATAACTATATCGCAATATATAGAATAATATCAAAAAGATGAACGCATTCTTCATTTGTCATATCCCCGGCATTCAGTATTAAACTTTTAGACTTTTCTCGACTAATTTCAATCTCAAAGGGACAAATCTCTGCTTGGAAATATTTGAAGAATTACAATAAAATAAAATTGAACGAACCAAAAAGATCAGTATGTTCAATTAAATGTTTAAAAATAGGCTTTTCCAAGTTCATTATTTCCGCGGAGAATGAAAATGATTTCTCGCTCGGTGACAGACAGATGATTTCCATTTTATCCAGGGAACGTTCGAAACTGAAATCGTGAAACGAGGGGACGAAAGAGAAAGGGAAAAGTAAAATTAAAGTAAATCCGGAAACACGGAGCAACTGGTTCCACAATTTATGCAACGCATGGTCATATATGGAAAACGTGTACACATTTCGGGAATACATCGGCATTCAAAGTATCGAATATATGTATAAATGTGGTTGCAGCGGAGCCGAGTTTATGGCAAATATTCGTGAGAATCATGCAATACGCCTGTACAAGAGAGAATGCTATCCCGGTGAAAGTTCGCCGGAGAACATCCGCTACTTACCTTTGCACAGAGTCTCTCGGCGAAAGGATGCATGTCTCTCTCGCGTGCGCGTTTCTTCTTATGTAACGCGTTATATCGAGCCCGGCTTATCAAGCTCCGCAGCCTGCAAAAATGCGAAGTCGACCTGGCTTGATAACGAGCTTCGATCTTTTCGATGAAAGCGATACCTTCTCTCAGGATTTTCTGAGACTACCGAAGACATCCCCATCGAGAAAAAGAGAGAGAGAGAAAGAAAGAACCTTAACCTTTCGTTCGAGGTTCGATCGTTTGTAAAATATTCACGAGGTATATGATTGTGGTAAAAAATTGTCTACAAAAATATTCGCGAATTATATGATTACGCTACGTTAGATTTCCAAAGTTTAGACTATTTCGTGCTTCATTTTTAACATTCCTTGCGATACTGAGTTAACGCACAGACTGTCACGGGCGACTTTTTATAATAATATTATCAGAATATAATAACATTTATAATAATATAATAATAATAATATTTGTATTATAATATATAATAATATTTATAATATTTATTGAATATAATAATATTTATACTTATAATAATATTATCAGAATATAAATGTAAAGAATATAATAGCACTTGTAAGAATACAGTGTACAAACAATTTTTCATTAAATTCCTGGCCCGCATAGACTCTTAGAAATGAAAAATTTCCGTAAATAACGCACATTATTTCGAAGAAAAGGGGAAATGCAGAATTTTCTATAATCCTTTCGCTTTATATTTGCTTCATATCGACAAATAGTTCATTTTTTCGAACGTTTCTCGTAATTTCTTTTCATCGAGAAGTTTCAGTCAAGAATAAAATTAAACAAAAACTGAAAGTCCCAACCAATCGAGCGATTTAATCTTCAATTGTTTCATGATCAAACGAGGCTCAACGAGGTCCAGTTACAAATCAGTTAATCTTCAATGGGCGTTATAACGATCGCGAGCAACGTGAGCCACCGTTAAGATCGGTGGAAAAACAGTTTGGAAATTGTACATTAAACATTAGGATTAGCGGGGCGCTTTTAACGCGATAAAATCGCGACGTTTCGTGAGCGAATTGTGCGCGAAAGTTGAGGGGGAGGGAGGGTAGGGAAAAGTTTCAACTCCCAGACGACCGTTATCGGGAAAAACTCCGGATGGAAAAGATTAAAAACAAACGCGGACGAAATTCCCGCGGGGGGATAAAATAATATGGCTGGGAATTATCAAGATAAAAACGCTACGTGCCGCTACGTAACGTACGTAGAATGACGTGATTATGTAAGGGTAACAAGAAACTATGAATTGGATGTCGTTTCTCTGTGTTTTTTTTTTTTTTTCCCCCTTCTAATATAACGAACCCTCGTACGAACGGGTTAAAATGTATTTTTCTAAATTTCGTTGATTACAATCGCGCACGATAGGTACATAACTGTTTGCAAAAGTATTCGATCACTTTTCTTTTTGGAGATATAAAAAGAGTTTCAAAATTTCATTAACATTGCAACGAGATCAGAGTAATTGCGTTGGCTCTGTTTGAAAAAATATGTTATAAGAATCACGTGACACGTGTGAAAATTCGCACGTACAACAGCAAAGAATTTTTACATACGAGATGATATTTCAATTGATAAATGTACGTAAATGTTTTTCCATTGTTCCCCCGATAAAAAGGGGAATTATTTTCAGCGTGATGCAAATATTCCAAAGTATTTTAGAAACAATGAAATCTTTCGTGTCCGTGAATTTCATTATGAACATTGTAATGATTGTGCGTGCGAATGTATTCAAACCAATGTATTTGAAACCAATGAAAATCTTTCGCAAGATCGAGAATTAAATCGGGATCGCTAATTTTACTTTCTCGCGAGTTTTCAACAATAATACAAGAGAATCTCACGCCTCCAAAGTTCATGTATTTGAATGTATTCCAAGGTATTCCAGTTTTACGTATTATTTAAAAACAATGGAATTTCTCGTGAATT